TGGCTATCTGGCGGTAGGCGTCATAAGGGTAGTCTATCTGGGCAGCGGTGAAGCGCCCTTGCCCAGTCAGGAGGTCAAAAGTCCATTGTTGTTGTTCTGGAGTTAAGGCTTGAGCGTTAGCTCTGGCCTGTTCCTGGGCCGCCTCATGCCACAGAGCTTTCCACTCCAAATATTGACCCATGCTGACAAGCGACGCTTTTGCAACTGTCTCCCAGTCTGCCGGAGTCATGGCACTCAAGGCTAATCTGTCCAATTGGGCTAATGTGAAATTAGTGGTCACTCCATATTTTCTAACTGATTCTGCTAATTCTTTTATTTGGTTGTACTCCACAGGCGCATACACCCGTCCATTTTCCCCTTCGTAAACGGGGAAGGCCAGGTGCAGCTTTCTCTTGACCTTGTCAGGGATAAATGAAAAAGTCTTTGGCCCAAGGTGTTCCTCATAAGGAGGCGCCAAAGGGGCAGTCGGGCGAGGGCGAAGCTCGTAAGGAGGCGGATGGGCCCTTTGGGATGACCTCATGGCCCTACCGCTGGTTAATTCTGCCTCCTCCTCTGTACCTAGTTCTTCTACCTCTTCTCCTGAGCCAGAACTTTCATGCTCACTTTCATGGTCACTTTCAATTTGCAGAGCTTCAAGCTCCTGCAGAGGATATAAACTACTGTCCTTTCCTTTTTTCTTATTGTTGGTTCCAGAAATCTTTCGACCTTGTAAATCAGTCTTCTCCCCCATTCTTATTTTCTTAAAACCACTGGAGGGTCCTTTTTCCTTATTTGAGACTGTGCGCGCACCTAACCTCTCACTGTACTCAGTTTCTGAAATGCTATCCTGGACTTCCTCTGTTGCAGCAACCGCCTGGCAGGATTCGTCTTTTAAGCAGTCTTTGGCGAAAAATAAGAGGACTACTAAAAGAGGTAGCAAGGCCCCTACGAAACCTTCCCAATGCGGAAACAAGTCAAGCCCAAAACCGAAAAATCCAGGAAAAGCCATATCTCTCTGAGTATACAGACCTGCAGTTCTGAATCCTCCTTGTGTCCAAGGGGTCTCCGGCAGTGCGAGCAGTTGTCAGGGTCCCTCAGCGTCCCAAGGGATTCGGCACCAGATGTCCCGCGCTACTGTCTCGCCAGCAAGAACAACGCAGGGCACGTAGGATCCTTCTGCAGAACAGCCTTTTAATGCTTCTTGAGAGCGAGAGCATAAGCCGACATGGCGGAGACCCAGAGCGAGGCGAGTCCAGCCCTTATATAGGAAACAGTCCCCGCCTCGGACGTGTCACTCTCAGATTGGTCAGCTGCCCATCATCCCAGATGACGCCTCGGGAGAGGCAGGGACTACAGCGTTGGAAATTTGCCAACACATGCGCATTATCCTGTTCACCGGGCGGGGGAACCGGATGTCAGCGCCATCTTGCAATGGCGAATGTGGTTGCGGTCCTCTACACACCACCACCCAGTATCTTTATATTTCTTAATGACTCTAGTCTTAAGTTGATTTCTACGTACCTTATGTTTCTTAATGCTATTAGGAAGGTAATTTTTTTTTAATTTTCCTTTTAGGTTGCTCTCAGCATACAGAAATCAACTGACTTACGTGGATTTCTTTTATATACTGTACATTTTAGAGATTTTATTAATTTTAAGGTTTGTGTGTGCACGCACACTTCAGGGGTTTCTATATTATAAGATATTTTCTGAAAACAGAGATAAGTTTACTTCTTTCTTTCAATTTTGGATATGCTAGTCCTCCTAACTGATCATCCACCTCGAATTTGCATATTATTTGGAATTGAGGTAGTAAAATTAGCATTTTTGTTTCTGTTCTGATTTTAGAGGAAAATGTTGAGTATTTTGGCTGAGCATGCCCTTGTTGTAGGAGGTTCAAGCTTTTCTTTGTCCATGTACACCCAGTTGGTGCAGCAACAATTGGAGATACACTGTTCTCTCTCACTGAATAGCTCCTTTCAGCTGTTAAAAGTAAGCTGCTCATGTTTGCATGACCCTATTTCTGGGTTCCCTATTCTGATTTCTAAATATTTAGCTGATTTCTTAACTAAGACAATTGCAAATTTCAATGTTTAGATATTCTAAACATTTCTGTACACTTCAAAATACATTTGAAAATAAACTTGCCTGTGTCACCAAAACTAAATGTGAATACACATAAAAATGTCACTGAAAATGTAACTCCATTTACTGTTTAAAATGTGTATTTGGGGTACGCTGAGCCTTTTAATACATGAATACAATGTATATTCATTGTTTTTTTTATTTCATTTGTATGTTACAACTTGAGGATTCAAGTCCTATACAATTTTATTAAATCTGGGTCTTAATACTTTGTTTCCTTTTGTTATCGTGTTTCAAAAATAATTTTCTAAATGCTCGTGGTTTATATCTAGAGATACGTCTTAGGAGTAAAATAGTTTTACTTTCATCATTAAGTTGGAAGCTTGCTGGAATATTTTAGTAGATGCTTTTTATTAAAGAGATATTTCCCCTGTGTTCCTAATGTACTCAAATTTTTTATTCATTGACATATATCATTTTTGTATAAGCTGATAGGATTCTTGAGTTTGTTAGTATGATCAATTATATTGGTACATATTTATATATTTAGGCAGCCTTGTATTTCTGATACATTATGTACAAATAATGTATAATTCTCTTTCTGCATTGGAAGATTCAGGCTAATATTTTTCTTGGTTCTGGGGATGAAATCTGAGGTATTATGTGTGTTGGACAAGAGCTTTTCCAGTCCCCTTTACTTGGCGGGGGCAGTATCCACAAAGACACTCAGTAGCCCAGACAGCCCTTGAATTCATGATTCCCTTGCCTCAGCGTCACAAGCAGCTGGAATCAAAGGCCTGTAAGACCAAACTCAGCCCTTCCCCACACCTTTTAGGAGACTTTGCCAGCAGGTTTATAAGATATATTGTTTATAGCCATCTCTCTCACTGTTTCCTTGGTTTGGTATCAGGGCAATTATGATCTCATAAAAATGAGTTGAGACATGAGCTCTCCTTTTGCTTTCTTGGAAAAATTGTGTCAAACTAATTCTTTTTCCAGTTCTTGGTACATTTCTCTGGTAACACTGTCTAAGTTTGGTAATTTCCTTTGGGACAGTTTTTCATTTATGATTTATTTTTTTAGCAGACGTTCCAGAGCTATTTAGGATTACATTATACAATAATATAAGATTATGCTATCATACAGATTACACAGTTTATTTTGGCAGTGTGTTTGCTTTTTATTGGTACCAAAAACACAAGCAAACTACATCTCAATAAAATGTTCCCTGACTTTTGCATCCACACAAGTTCACATGTGAGAAAGTAAATACAAAGTGCTATGCCGTGGACTCCATGGGCAGCAATGTGGTTGATGAATGAAGAGTTAGGACCATTTGAGCAACTTCAAGAATCAATAAATTCATTGGTTTTAGTCATATGAATGTAAAAATAGAGTTTGATAGGCTGATATATATCTTCTTCATATGTAGGAGTCTCAATAAAGAAAAGTGATGATCCATCTGCTCCACGATTCTGTTTTTTATTTATGTGTGTGTATGTGTGCTTGTTTGTGCACCACATGAGTGAAGGCATCAATGAAGCCAGAAGAGGGTGTGGGAGCCACTGGAGTTGGAATCACCTGGTATCCACCCTATTTCGATGCTGGTAACTAAACCGGGGACCTCTGGAAGAGTTACATATGTTCTTAAGGGTTGGTTGTGTCATTTCTTTAGCACAAACCCCTAGCATGATTCTGTTTTGGCATGGACGTTACTGTGGTGAGAATCTTGTGTGAACAGACAAGTCATGGGGTACCTACCAGTCACTATGACACTGTCTCAAATTATCGAATAAAACAGTGTACTAAGAGACAAAAGTTCCATTTTTATAATCTGCTATTCAGTTATAGGATCAGATATCATAACTTGGGGATAGCTGAAGATGGAGAAGGGTGACTCCCTTAGTTTCAAGACCAAGGCTGATTTTGTGAATCTCTTTTGGTTTCATTTGGAGATAATATCAATCCTTTCAAAGGATTGGGAGGGGGGATGAGACAGGGAGTAGGGGTGGGGTTGCATCTGGACCACAGGGTATCCTTCCAAGCTTTACCACAAACATCATTCAACAAAAAGGCTTGCGGTCTTTTGCTCCCAAAGGGCTCTGTGCACATAATCAGTTGGTCTCCTTAACAAGCCGTGCCTTGACATTTCGTTGAGCCACCCAGGTTTTGTCCAGGTCAGGGAAGGAAGGCAGGCAGTCAAGAGATTGGTTCTGACTGTTAATGACACAACAGGTCAACAGGCCAACTAACCAGGAGTCTCCTAACTGAGAGTATCAAGGCGATTGTTAATGGACCCAAGAGTCCATCTTCTCTTATGTGTCAAATTCTTAATCACAGTAATCACCTTATGATGTGTCTTCAGTGTCTTCCCTACAGAGCTTCCTTCCAGGAAAGGCACAACATCCCCAGGGACACCTTAACTTGAATTGCTGCCGCCATTCAGAGCAGAAGGTAACTCCTTTGGCTCAAGAGACCATTATTGATTAAAGGACACGACCAAACAGAGGTTACAGAAGATGGGTCTGAATTCTTGCACCTCCTGACCTTTACAGAGGGCCAGCTGCGGGGCACCAAATATTTCCTGGGAAGTTATTTCGCTTGCGGAATCTCAGGACCAACCAGTTAAATCCGAATCTGCATTTTAATTCATAGGTTCATTAAAGTTTGCGAAACACAAGACCAGGTGAGGGCAAAGAGGCTCCTAGGTAGCGTCCTGATGTCGCACTGCTCTGCAAAAGTCCTACACAAAATTTGGACTATCTGGGATGCGCGGGGAAGGGGCATGCGGGAGCAGCCCGCGGGGGTTGGGGGGGGGGATGGTAGAAGGAAAGTGTTATCCGATTGGCTGCTTTCTCCAGCTCCGGCGTGCAGACACTCCCTCCACACTCCCTTTTTACACCCCCCCTCAATTGCTTCAGCTCTCCTACAGCCGGCTGCCCCGAAAACCCGGAGCAACAGAGTAGTCTCAGCGGACAGTCCTTCTAGAGGCGAAACCAGGCGGTTTGGGCATGCTCAGTTGCTGGGAGAGGTTTGGGAGGAGAGTAGAGAGCTTTGGCTCTGCCCCCACCCCTCCGTTAGCCCCCGCCCCCCTTGCCCCTACCCAGCCGTAGTAGTTCCCCAGCGTGCGCCCGGGGAGAGCAGGAACATGGCGCTTGGAGCGATATAGCAGCTGTAGCAGCAGAGGAGAAGCAGATGAAGCACCGCGGCTTCGCTACTGACAACCAGCCACCAGGTAGGCAGGCGCACGGGGCAGGTCGGCTTGCATGGGCGCTTGCCAAGATGCGCACGGTTGCTACGCCGGGCATCTGGCTTTGCCCAGAGAGGATGCGAAAAGAGACCTCTATGACAGCACAATTGATTGTGCATCTCCTAGGAGATGCCAAAGGCTAGGGACCTCCTAGGATGGGCAAGGAATCGGGGGTCCGCCCACTCCCCAACCCCCAACACATGCAATATCATCCAGCCTGGGCTCTTCACCGGTCAAATAAAGGATAGTGCTTTTATGCTGGGATGGAGGGTGTAAAAGATCATCCTGGATGCCAGCTCTCGGAGTCTGCTGGTACCCCGAAAGGCTAACAAGCCCAGCATCAGTTCTTTGTGTATGTACTCGCGCACGCCCTGCTGATGGTACCACAGTGCCTGCTGCTCCCAAGTGCTGGATGCATTGCCAGGGCAGGGTTCCCATATGGTTTTTGTCTTTTAGCAGGTGTGGACCACAAGATGCAATAGCGGAACCTTTATGGGACTGTGTTTTCCTTTGTTATTTGTCTCTGTCTGTTTGCTTGGTGGGTAGCAATGGAAAGAACTTCTGCAGGTGGGCACCGGTGGGCAGAATGTGGAAGAGAGCCCCACTTCCAAATTGGTTAAAATTGTGTGCAATGCCAATCTCCTAGAGAATGAACTTGAAAAGTCTCGGGACTGTCGGTGTCCAGTTTGGAGCCCAAGTGTTAGCATCCTTTCTGAAACCGTGTTTATCTGTAGCTTTCCATTGGGATAGGGTAGAAGTTAATTTGCCAGCGTCGTCAGTTAAGGGAACCCCAGTCTTGTACAAGCCTATCTGTGGAGGTCTTTTAAATAAAGAAAAAGAGAAGCCAGAAGAAAGTGGCAATGTCAAGAGTTGATAACAGCTTGGAAAACTGAATATACCTTGGGGGAAATGGGGATACCTGGTTGCAGGGTCCTGGGTACTTCACAAAACACCAGTGATCCTCTTGTGGGAATTGATGGCATGTGGCAACTTCGTTAACTTGAGTTCAGACAGACACTCCTTGTAGAAGCCCCTCCTGCACCAGCCTCCTTGATGTTGACATTCTACAACAGCATCTGCAACACCTTACATTTGGCCCACTGGGAGGGAGGGAAGGGAAATTTAAACCATGCCTTTATTTCCTCCTTTATCATTGAAGGCTGTGCATCTGTCAGTGGATATAAAGTTTAGATACTTTCCTCTGCACCTCCTTTATCTATTCTTACGATCTCCAAGTGGCAAGAACGAGTCAGTATCACGATAATGAAACAGGACTGCAAGAGGGAAGTGCATTCAAGTAAATTAACGCTGCAAATGTTCAATCTGATAACACCTTGACTTTGAATACACGCATGCAAAGCAGAACTTTTAATGAAAGCAATAGAAGTGATGACAAGTTTACTGAGAATACTTGTATTAGAATAAACTGTTCGTTGTGAACAAAGGTTGTACTGTTGTTGCAGTTTCCCGTTTAACTAATAAATGAAAAGTTTTGATTGGAGGCATTGGAAACCCAGGTTATCAATGCCTCTCCTATATCCCCAGAGTATGCTGCCATGGACAAGTATGAGAGGCAGGTTTTGTGGGATAGAGTGTCGTCTTGGTGGTGAGATAAAGCTAAATTTGTGTCTGGTTCTTCTGTGTTTAGTTTTGTGATTCTGTGTGAGCTGTTTAATTTCTTCATCAGCAATATGGGCGTGTGAATAGCAAAGTACCATGTACATTGTTAAGCGTGGGCATTGCTAACAATATGAAGCACCTGGATATTGTGACAATCCTTTTTGAAAATGAAATATATGTGCTTGGAACCCATATTATATGTGTTATACAAGCCAGATTAAAACACATACTTTTACTTAAATGTTCCAGATTGTTTTTATTTCTTAGCACTGACATAACCATTCACCCCAAACTTGGTAGCTTAAAGCAGTAGAAATTTATTGTATTACAGATCTGGGCATTTTAGTTCTAACACTATGGTGTTAGAAGAATGATCTTATGGTGTTTTTAAGAGAGGGTGCCTCCTCCCCAATAAGGCTCCTATAGACTCAGGCATCCCTCACCCCTGGAGCACATAATTCTATCTCTAGCTTCATCTCATGTGGCCCCCCTCTCTGTTTCTGTTCCTTGGTTAAGGTTTCAGTTTTTATATAAGGGCAGTGTTCCTGTGGAATTTAGAGCTCACTCTAGTCGTGTCTTAATTTGACTACATCTGCAAATATCTAACTTCAAAATTAGGTCACATGGACAGGTTCTGGGTTGTCATGAATATGGGGGAGACAGGATTTAACTCAGTTTCCTAATATTCCTAATAATATTGACACTATTGATATTGTGCCAGCAAGTTTCAGAATATAAAGGATGGCGTAAGATCAGAAAACACTTCAAAGTTTATTTAATCCAACTAATTTACCAGAGTTTTGTATTCCCAAGTGTGACAGTGAAGAGGAGGATCATAGATACCTCATTCACGTGTCACTTGCATTGAAAGTGAAACAAACTGGGACTTCAGTCTTGTATAGATGCCCCTGAGTGATTTTAAATAGTCGTCTCTCTTGAGTATTCTAATAAGACAATACAGAACAACAAAAATAACAGTTAAAATGAATAAACAAATAAATCATAAAAGCGTTGCGTAACTTTAAATATATTTTTAATTTTTAGAAATATATTTTTGTTAGTTCTGTGAGAATTTGTTGCATGCCTAAATTTTGGTTGTATTCACTCCCCCACTCCTCTACCTAAATCTTCCCAGGTTCATCCTCCTTACCCTCCTAAATTTGTGTGTGTGTGTGTGTGTTTGTGTGTGTGTATATACGTATATGTATATATATATATATATCACTGAGTCCAATTTGTGCTGCTTGTGTACTCAAGAGTACAGAACCATCTAGTAGAGTGTGATCAACCTAGTAAAACAGTTATGTATGCATGTATGAATATGCATTTGTTCATTGTGTGTCTCTGTGTGGGCATGTGCATGCCATAGCACTTAAAAAGACGTCAGAGGCCAGCTAATCATTTTGATCCTTTCATCATGGGTGTCTTGAGGATTGAATTTAGGTAGTTAGACCTGTGGACAAGCACCTTAACCTCCTCAGCTGTCGCAACTGTTCATAGCTTTCTGTTTTATTTTATCATTTTCTTTCTTTCCTGTGGGTTTGTCTTTGATGTTTACTTCTAAATATTTTTGTTAGTTCTTTGAGAGATACATACTTTTGATTATAATAACTCCTATCCCAACCCCTCGCACATTTAATCCCTATTGAATTCCCATCCCACTTTTTGTCCTATTTTCTTTTAAATCAATGGAGTCCAATTTATGCTGCCTATACATGCCTCAGTGTGCTGCTGTCTAATGGAGTGCTTTAGAGCCAGCAGACACCACACCATTTAAGAAAACTACATCCCCTCTCCCAGCAGTTGAGAGTCATTGGGTGTGGGACTCTGTGCCCATTTCCCTGATTCATGTTGGGATTTTGTCTGGTTTGACCTTTTACAGGCCTTGTTTGTGTTGTTACAGTTGCTAAAGTTCACAGATGTAGATGTCCTTTAGTGTCTGGAAAAGGCTGTTTCCTTGTCATCCGCAAGGTCTTTCTGCTCCCACTTCTTCAATGATCACTGAGGTTTTGGAGGCAGAGGTAGGCTATTTGGTTGGGTTTTGGGGTGGGTAGGAAGACAGAGTAGAGGGAATGGGAGGAGAAATAACTAGTATAAAACATAAGAGTTTCTGGAATATTCACATGAAAACCTATTACTTCCTAAACTTTGACCACACACACACACACACACACACACACACACACACACACACACACAAAACCGGACTCACCTTATAACAGAGCAATAATGCCCTTACTAAGCCCAGTACCAGGGTCATCTCTATGGGATTTTTTTTGACCAGTGATGTCCCACAGATCCCCAAACACCACAGCTTTTTTTTTCTTATTTTGGTAAATGATTCAGAGTCTATGAAAATGACCTAGGCAGAATAGCAGGAATTGCTTTTGATGCCTCTGTTTCTTTTATCCTGAGCACCACAGAGTACTGCATAGTCTTATAAATTTAAGCTTTGGCATCTTTGTCTAAAGCAGATGCTGCTATCTCTGATACCACTGTGAAACTCCACATCCCATTCTCCTCCCTAGATCATGAGTATAACTTTCTAATAAGACGGGCTTCTTGATTGTCCCCCAATCCATCACAGAGGCTGGGACCACACCAGTTCCTTGCCTGCAATGCTGCATGGACGCCTGTTACAGTTTCCGGAACTGCTAGGAATGCACCATACCTGTCCAGCTTCATTATGGATGTCGTGCTGCTGTCACAATGACCTACTGTCATGAATGTCCAAAACACTTTTCTTTTGGTCTTGCTAGTCCAACCTATTTGTTCGCTTCCTCATCAACCCAGCTCTCTCAATACATTTTTGTCTTTAATAATACTTTCTATCATAATCTGTTCCTTATCTTGTCTTCATGTCTGTAAACTTTGCCATCCTCATTAAGCTTGTGTCCTGTATGCAGAAGTTGTTCTGTCTTTGTCTGACGTAGGATAGAAGGAAGGAATACTTGGCCTCATAGCATTTTCCTTTGCAAATGTGAACGCATTCTTCTTTCAGAACCTGTGCTTTTCTTACTAGTTTGAAAAGAGCAATTTAGGACCTCATCCTAGCTTCAAAAGAAGAGCATTCTTCGCTTTAACAAATGCACCTTCTAAGAATCAGTTTTAGGCTTGCTAGCAGTTAACTGGATTAGAGTATTTTTCTGGCAACTGAGACTTTTGTAAAATAAAAAAAATACATTAATACGTATTCTGCAAATACATGCTCAGTCTCAGACAACACCAAATTCGATCTTTAACCTTCTAGAAACTAATAAGTAATCATATTATATAATAACAATACAATGAATTACTAAGCTTAGATTGTGAGCCAGGCTTTCTTTAGACCTTCTCAGAACCTTCACTGGAGCTACCTGATCTTT